GGCAAAACAACTGAAAACACAGTTTAAAACATTAATCGTAAACAACAGAACAGAAAAGGAATATACTCTAAAAATGTATATATTATTTGAATCTGATATTAGCCTATGGGTAGGCCCCTACGCCCTAAAGCCGACCTAAGTAGATCAAAAGTAAAAGTATAACAGGTGTGTATTATTCCATAAAAGTAGTTAAATATTTTAATTACAGTATCTAAATAAAGGAGTTGACTTTTTCATAATAAAAGTAAATAGTTGTGCGCACTAGATATGAACTCTCTTGGGCAGATCGGCTTAAGTTTACTTCCTTGGAATTTATATCTGCTATACGACCAGATTAATTTTAGTTGCTTTTACGAGACTTGCATTCGCAAATATAAGAAAATTAAATTTACAGATTTTCTATTTCAAGAAAAGCCATTTTTTTTTTATATATATAACAGGTAGTCCTACATATAGTTTATTCAACAAATAGGTTAACAGTGATTGTGGCTTGAACCGACCTAAATTTTAATCCAAACGGTCAGTAATTGCCAGAAATAGAAAACAGTCTCAGGTCAACCTAATCCTGTAGCCTTAGACATTCCCTTTATTTTCCTAACGTGGGCGTCTTACCTGTGTATGGTTTCCCATTGCTCCCGCGAAGTATTGTCGTCCGTGACGGTGTTTAATGCGTCATTAATTACTCGTTCACAAGATTGAGTGATAGTCAATTAAACAAATGTACAAGACGTTTATAAAGATTCTTGATCAATTATCACTATTAAATAAATTCGCCTGCCGTTCCTAATCATTACTATAAATACTATAGTATTAGGGCTATTATATTATTTTTAATCTTATTGTCTTTTTCTACCTGGAAACACTGTCTTATGTTTGCCATCGAAACAGTGGCCAAGAAACAAAGTAAACCAAGCTCAAGAGTAACAATAAAAAGAAAAAAAAAGTAATTACGTGGCCGCCAAAAAGCCGGGCACTCACTGCACCCGATGGTCGCCCGGCCGACGTGATTTTATGGAAAACTCAATGGCACGCGCGCGCAAACGCAATGCCACGCGCGCGCAATGGATCGTTTTTAATGACGATCCGTTCAGACTGCCACCGAATCATGAGCGAAGTTTGACTGGCTAGCCGACGATCAAAATACTTCACACTTAGGCCTATATAAGTCCAAATTAAAAATTAATAGTTTTTCGTTCCCAAATATTTTGAGCGACATACATATACATCTGTCTCTTATACACATCTAGATGTGTATAAGAGACCTTTATTTTACGAAATGTGCAAAAATCTGGCTAAAGCCAAATTTACACTAGACACGATTACGACTCGACAACGACATATCATCGCGTAGTTTGTATTCTTCAACACTGCACTCATCTCTATCGTGTCGTAATTGGTATGAATCATGTCTAAAGCTTCTTTTATTTGCTTTCAATGTGTCTACTTGGTAATTTTTCAAAATATTAGGACAGAAAGTACTTTTTTTTATTACTTGGCCTATAGGACTAGTAATTAATATAATCATTCTCAGAGGGGATGGATGGATGAAAATTAAATATATTATCATGTTTATCGTACTGTGAATTGATTGTGATTTCAAAAAGAAAATCAAACCCAATGTCATATGAAATATTCACCGGCCGCACCATATCCATATTGATTTATACGAACAGTTAACTTACGTCGTAATGCCGTAAGTTATACATAATATGATGACTTAATGTTTGTAGGCCCAAACCAATCACTGTGACTTATAATGCGCCTGTGTGGTTTACTAAAGGATACAGTATCTATTTAACTTACAGCATTGTAAACATACATTAACAGAAGAAGTACCGTATTCTCCATTATAATTTTTGCTTCAAAATAAACCTTTTTTTATTTAAATATTAAATAAAATCAAAAAGATTTTCTTATTTTTCGTTAAAATTTGAAATCTAAAATGTTGGATGGGCCCCCGGGAAACCGTGGCAGCCACAGTGCAACGCCGGTAGAGAAAATAAAGAATACATTATTGTCACATACCACGCGTAACTCTCACATGAAGTTTATTCGACTAGATAGTCAAAACCATTTGGATTTTCTTATCATGACAATTGTTAGTAAATTATCAATGGAGCTACTCGGTATATATTGGTATCTCTCGTTGTCAATATCGTATGATATCGATCCAGGCCGGCTATGGACATTAATTTCGTCTTATTTGTTCCGGATTACTTCAGCGATGCAATACACTTCAGATTGATGAGTTGTTGATGGGCTCCAATTTTTATTTTGATAATCAGCTCTCAAGATAATTAATATCAACAATGACGTCAGAGTTGACCATTAGCTGGATTGCCAAAAAGTAAGAATTATTAAATCTATTGATGCTATGTTTAATCAACCAACTATGACGTTATACATTGTAGGTGTCTATCCTTTATAGATATTTATTTGTGTTGTAACTGTAGGCATTGGTCAATTGTTGCTCGCTTGAGAAACTTTACAATCTGACTGCTTTCTAGTAAACATATGACTACATGTTTGTTATTAAATATTATTTGTTATTAAGTTTTTGTTGACATATCTTCATTCTTTTATAAATTAATTGTTATTTATTAAATTATTCTTCCTCTATTTATATTTTCAGTTAAATACATATTAAATAATTTTTGTATTTTATAATTGTTTTGTATATACTGCTTATTTTCTACTTATTTGTATAACATATTTGTGTATATTTTGTTTAAATTATTTATTAGACTTACACAGATTTACCTGTGTAAATACTGTCGTTTATTTATCCAGAATTGGGCACGATTTAACTGCGTGCCGAGGAATAAACTCTTTGAGAAAGAGTACCGGTACCGGCCGGTATAAAAAAAAAGACAATTTGCTCTTGGGCATGGAGAGAGCAGCTTAGCTCAGTTGGCTAATCTGGTGGTAGCCACTGTGTGTTCGCTGAACCGTAGAGATCTCTATGTCCCCGGTTCAATCCCCATCGCAGCTCTCTGCATTGTGTTTCAGCTGGAGGGCTAAAATGCAAGGTACGATAGCGCACCGTATTTCGGATGAGACGTTTAAGCCCTCGCTCGTTCCGTTTGCATCATGGCCCATGTTGACGTTAAAAAAACGCAGTACACTCTTCGAAAAAAAGTAGAGAATTTATTTTTTCTCTCGTTGACTGATGGTCATTTGTTCAGAATCACATAATGCATCATAGTTATTCAGTATCACATAATACATCATAATAAAAAACAATATATTAATTATTATACGAAATACTGAAGGTCAAGTTAACTGCAAAATAATAAAGTAATCAGCCATATAGCGTAAAAATAATCTGAATGTATACAAATATTGTAATCAGCCATATAGCGTAAAAATAATCTGAATGTATACAAATATTTAATTTCCTCCTTAATTTCCTTCGTCCATATGCTGTCTCTTATACACATCTAGATGTGTATAAGAGACAGATATATAGGTTATTCTTGGTGTATGTATAAATCCATTCGTCCATCTTGTCTTTACTAAAAAAAGTTTACAGGTTTTAAATTTTGCATTATTTTTGTACCGGTAGTAGTTTAAGAGATTATTTTTTTGTTGGTGTTGTGGTACTGTCTTTTTTTTGTATTTTGTGGATTGCAATAAAAAAAAATCGCAAGCAAAGAACATATTGTTTATTTTAACTTGACGTCAACTTGGTAACAGAATTAATCAAAATCGATTACATAGTAAAAGGAAAACATAACATTTTGATGCCGCTTTATGACACAGCAATCTTATTTAATTAAAATTAAATAAGATTAAATTGAATTTAAAAGCCGCATCATCTTATTTGACTGGTGTGTTAGTCATTTCTTTGGTTGAAATTTCCCATCAGGCCTGCAGTAAATAAAAAGCAAGCTTAATATCGATAAGGCAGCTTATTACACGGTTGTCCGAACAAAGCCGATATTTCTTTGTAATGAGAAGTCAATGACCCCTACGAAAATTTCAGTGAGGATAACAGTAGTTTCCACAAGACCGATTTAGACGCATTTAGAGTTCCTATAGGACTGGAAGAATTCAACACAAACGCAAGCAACGCTCCTCTCCTCAGTCTATAACGTTTGCGTAATAAAAACCGAAAGGTCCACTGATTAATCTCAGATAAGAATGTATAATACATACTCCAAGTATTGAAATACACGCCATCGTGTTGGGATTCAATATTTCGACATTAATTATGTCATTCCTGATGATGACATAATTAATGTCGAAATATTGAATCCCAACACGATGGCGTGTATTTCAATACTTGGAGTATGTATTATACTTTGCGTAATAAAGTTGCAGGGTTTCAAGTTACGCTGGTAGGACATACAAAAATCGTACGCCGTGCGATCCATCCACAAACTCCGTTGATCATTTGGCTTATGAAAATAAGTATACCGCGTTAGGGGCCTAGAATTGTTTGTCTGCCAACCTTACTGGTCTAATGACTTACGATAATCAAGTAATAAAATTCTCTACTGATATGACGGAAGCAGCCGTCTCTGGCATCTACATCCGGCAATATACTTGCCGCCTGGAAGTGTCCGTGAATTTATTTGACTCTGCTTTAAGTGGTAGCACACACCTTAAACATAATGATCCTAGTTCCTACAGTAGTTAAATATTGTAGAAAGCTAGACATACACAAGTAACAAAGAAAGGAGTTTCGAGGGTTTGCTATCAGTCAACCAAAATGGCTCTTGTACATTCCTCTGAACATTGTTACGAATATTTTTTTCTAATAAACACTAATTTCTCCTGTAGGCCCGTAGCGTGATTTAATTTGTGGGAGGTTCGTTTCAGTGGAAAGTCGACCCTTATATTCTGGAGAACATTGTAAATATATCTACGAATATCAATTTTTCGTTTTTAAATGCGGACCTTCTCCAGTTTTTGGGCGGTTCGTCGTAGCACCATTAACCTCCCCAAGCTAAGCGTGATTTCTCGAATTATTACCAAACACCGTTTAAACAAGGTAATATAATTTGATTGAGTTTAATATTTCAACTAACGACTGTATCAATATTGAATTATTGGTACAATGATGTCAATGACAGTTTAATGATCCCTACTGGTACCGGTAACCGTTTTTTTAAACAGACAGTACATCCGATTGCAAATGATTTACAGTGTCTTCAGTTGCCATGGATTCAAGCCGACATAAAAAATTCTTTTGCTAAAATATAACTTTGATAAAACGAACTGATTCGGGCTGTCTAAAGAGGCACACACTGCGTTCGTCCGTCCATGGAGGAATTAGTTTAGTGGTCCGTCGGCGAACAATCCATCTCCGCTCTGTGGTACTACTTGACGACTTTACATCCTCGGCTAACTGTCGTTTAAAACAATCCGTCGCTGCGCTTTCCCGTCGCACCAGCGCCCGTCAATCGGCTCAGTGTTCGGCCGACTATGAAGGAATACAATTGAAAATGTGTAAACCTGCAAAACCCTCAAAAATTAAATTAGCTAATTTTCAAATGAAAGACATATCGAAATAATAGTAATTTACATCTTTGGGATGGTAGGCCTACATACGCATTATTTTAAGATTTAAACCTGACCCCCTAAATCCGCCCTGGTGGGGGGAGGGGGGTTACCCCATCGCCAGTATCGTAACGCATAGGCTTTCAGCATAGAACATTCTCAGTATCCTCATTTGTACTAAGATTGAGGAATGTTAAAAAATAACAGGTTTGCTTTTTTACTGTATAAGCTCCATTTCTAGCCTGCTAACCTTCAGCTCATGAATTTTCTCGTTTAAATCCGACTCCAGCTTAGGGATTATTTCCTCCTTAATTTCCTTCGTCCATATGCGTCACCCCCTTTCTCCGATTCAATTATATCAGTTTTAATACCATTAATGTCTGCATTCATTTTGCTCATTTGAGATGATAGCGCGTCAAATCGTGAGTTCATATCAGCGTCCAGTTTGGTTAACAATGCATGCAATGTATACAATGTATGCATATATTTACAGCCTCGGCGTTCACAGGTGGCTGGTTCGACTGGTTACTAGGCTACGGGTTCGTCTACTAGCTTCATTGGTAAGCATGTTAACGTTAAAATTTGTAAATTATATCAATTAAGGAGACAAGATTTAATTCACAAATAATATTTGTATAATATATTGAGACTTACTACAATTTAAAAATACATAAAGCGGGATATAGTGTCCATAAGTTGGTCAGATTTCAGATAATCACCGCAGCACCTATCATCCACGTCCTCTCTCTATGACATGTCAGTTGTCAGAACCGTAGCTGCTGTAGAGTTACGGACCAGGGGCGGATTCAGTAGGGGAAACGTGCCACTAATTTTTCAATGCAAATCAATGTTATGTGCTACTCACTTACCTATTTCGAGACTGTTGTGTGCCCTTTCCCCCGTTTGAAAAATTCTGGATCCGCCCATGCGGACCACGTCCGTCACAGCACGCGACGCAGTGAGAAGAAACTCGTCACGAACGATTGGATGAAAAACTTTATTGCAAGTTTCATCAAGAACACAGTAAAAAGAAAGTAGAAAAAAGAAAAAATACAACTGAAAGAAAGAACAGCTATATTAAAATTAATTTTATTTAAATTGATTTAATTTTGATAACTTATTTTCACTATAGTATTCAGACAAATGGTTGATGATATTCTAGTTGCAAGACAATCATGGAAAATGGCTGGCTGATTTCAACATGTAATTAACAGCCTCATTATTAACTACCGTATTACCTGCTGGTTGCAATGCATTCACCTTTCATTAAATAACCCGACACCTCTTAACATCGTCATGGGACCGATAAATTAAGTAACGAATAACCGTTATCTACAACAACAAAGCATTATTCTTGTTGATAGCACACATCAAAACGTAATGTGTCGATTTGCGAGACAATGTGACTCATTTTGTGACCGTCTTGATTTTTGTTTTTAGAAAGTAGTTTAGCTCTGGTGGAAGCTACTGTGTGTGCGCTGAACCGTGGAGATCAGGGATGGATTTGGGTTCAAATTTAGATGTGTATAAGAGACAGGTCAAATAGAAGTGGGGGGTGGTGGTCTGGGGTCCTCCCCCGGGAGAATTTGTATTCCTAGATGGCGGAAAATTAGTTTTCCCGACTTCTGAAGTGTCTCTTAATGGCTTTTAAGTTCTTCAAAATTTAAGGTTTTCCCCTCTTGAAAACGGTCAGGTAAATTTTTCTCATTCTTATTACAGTAAATAGGCCTATTATGTGTGTATACGTACATAAAAAAAAAAATTAAAGTTGCATACGTATTCTTTCTTCCATGAATCGATGAACCCCAAATCGAACGGGAGTCGAGGCGTCCTCCCCCCGGGGAAATTTTGATTCCTAGATGGCGGGAAATGAACTTTCCCGACTTCTGAAGTGTTTTTAATGACTTTTAAGTTCTTTCTTCAAAATGCAAGGTTTTCCCCTTTTGAAAACTGTCATGTAAATTTTTCTCATTCTTATTACAGTAAATATGCCTATTATGTGTGTACCGGTACATGCAGAAAAGTAATTGCATACCGTATAGGCCTACTTTTTTTTCTTGAATCGATGAACCCCTCTAATTTTCCCATTGTAACAAACAAAAACTTCAGCTCACTGTCCTGAAAATATAGGTCTAGATTTTTTTTTTTTTAATTAAAAAAAAAGTTTGCCCAAGGATGGGTGGTCAGGACCCTGATCCCTCCTCCCCATCAGATCCGCCAATGGAGATCCCCGTTCAATTCCATTCGCTGCTTTCCTTGTGTTTTTGCTGGATGGTTGAAATACAAGTGAAACTCTTAAACCGTTGGACCATGGTCGGACCGTGTGAAATATGGCCCATGTGAACGTTAAAGAACGTAATAGACTCTTGGAAAAGATTAGGGGATTGTATCCCAGGATACTGCCCAATTCAACACCAGGATGACCCAATGGAAACAAGTCTCATGACTTTCGTGGGTTATCTTTGGAATGATTCACACCAAAAATACCCCTATCCCATCCTTCCTATCATATCTTTGACTACTCTGCCCAACGTAAATTCGGCCAAAACTGCGTCAGAAAACTCAGACGACAACGAGAACCCGACGTTGCCACATGCGCGGATGATTTTACGTGAAGTCATTATAGGCCTACCGTCGCCGTGTAGACGAAAGCTTTGTCCAGTGTGATGTAGTCAGACAATCTGTTTATTTTTAATACAAATAGATGAAGAATCTACGATAATTTGCTGAACGAATACATTTGATTTGAAATCGATATTCTGTGACGTTATGTCAAGAAAATAAAGCATCCGCTAATCAAGTATAGTTTCACACGTCAGTGAAAACGGGACCACTTAGAAGTGATTTTTCATAAACAAAATTGTTGTTATCATCATAGGAATATCTCAGTCTAATATTAAGTATCTACTCTGCAATATAGCAATTTATTGATCTATAAACACAAGAATTGGTTTTACATATGTATCATGCAGAAAGTGAATGTTCATTGATACACACGAGAATAGCTGTTTATATGATATGCGATAGGCCTAAGTAGTTTATAAACTAGACTAAATAACACAAGGTACCATTATAACGTACATTCAATTATTCAACATCAAGTTTTGTCATTAAATAGAGTGGTGCGATACCGTAGCTCATGATTCTATTTTTTTTAAATATTAATGCAATGTAAATTACATCGTCGATATCGCAGTCAGCATTGAGGATTACTTAAGCCTTGGTGGTGTGTGTACAGTTTCAGTATCAATGGCCGCTATAAACGATGCAAAGTATAATGGTAGTTTTATATCAGATTATATATAAATCTTAATGGCATTGGTGTTGATAATCTCATAAATGTTAGTTGAAGCTTTAAATTCTGTTGTATTTTAGCAATCGATTGAATATGGATTTCGGTATGAATGTACATAAACAATCTATCATGTGAGCTTAATCATTTTAAATGGGTCGGTCATTTTACGGGCATATTCGCATGAACCTTGGTGACGTAAATTACAGTAAATTTCTTTATAAGCCTATGTGAAATTAATAATGTGAACATTTTAGGAAATTTTAGATTAAAAACTATTTTATGTTGACACAATTGAACAAATAAGTTTGAATGTTGTGTTGTTATTTCTGATAGGCCTTATAACTAATTGCAGTATTCCACCAATTGTCAAGTAAGTTTTTTGGAAAACAGGAAGCACGCGTAATTGGTAATGTGGAAGCCGTTTCGGAGTTTTCTTTACAAGATTAAGGATTGTCAAAGTTGACTGTCAAAAAACAGAAATCTCAGATGTTCATTTTCTGGATCCCCAACTCTGAACACAGTCATGTACCCGGGCATGTACCCTCTAACATAAATGTACGACTCATAAAACAAAGAGAATCTATTTGTTTTAATCCGATCTGTTTTTAACATCTTTTTTTCAGACAAATTCCCTTCCCCACACACACGATCGTTGTTGTGGGGAAAGAATGTAATGAACCACGTGATCGGGAAATTGAACTGACCATTCTCGGCCGGACATCACCTCGGCTTGCATGGCGACGGGCTGTGAAGTGGTTCCCGCTAGGTTTCAGCCCTAGGTGCGAGTATTCCATGACTAATGATTAGAAGAATTAAAAAAAATACGACATAAGCCTTTGTATATTTTTTGGCCCATTTTTAACATCAATGTTGTCACTATACCAACAGATAGGCCCTATGTGTAAGAAAAATCCCCGGGAGGAGATGGGTAAACCTATGTGCTCAATACTGTGTTTTGGCGTTTGATTATCTACACATCTGATTTAACAATAGTATCATACACAATATTATACGCTCTTTGAAAGGTAACATTGGCTTTAGTATGCGTACATTCTTTAACCATGTAAGGAAGACCGAAAAGGAAGACCGAAAAAAAAAAACAAGGCTGATCAAATTCAGAGAGAAACCAAGGAATTTCTAATGGAACTCTGTCCGTGTTGAGTTCGTGACAAAGGCAAGATTTGATAACGCCCGATGTCGAAAAACGAATAGCGTTCATATTATGATGATCATGGGAATGTTGATTATCAGTTGAAAACTAATATTGTTTAGGCCTATGCGGTGCTCAAGAAGACACGGTGGCGTACATTTAATCTTGATTTCATGCCAAATTACTTGCTTCGCACTTTACCATCACTGCTGTTACCACACTTTACCATCATTGCTGTTATTTATCCCAGCATAGAGAAAATAACATACCGTTGAACATAGCTGACATTTGAAACACTCGCTTAGATAATGTTTAAAAAATACCAGAATGTTTACTGAACTTAAGTTGCTTAATAGAAAGGAAGAGGTAAAGTACTTCAACTGGTATCAGATAACTCAAAGAGACTGCCAGCCACCGTTTAATAACTTCAATACATTACGGTATTATTCTGAACTTGTTTACGACATACAAAACACAGGTTACGGAATATACATAGGTCTAGGCCCAGTCCATATTTACATACGATATGCCTTTCCAGTCGTTTCACTGATGCAGGTACGCCTATTAATATAAGAGACAGGTGTGTGTGTGTGTGTGTGCATTCAAATAACCGTGAGCACATTGTATTACACAACGATGGTGCCCTAAGTTATTTGAATCTGTTCAACCATGAAGCCTCTGTGGTCTAATGGTTATGTCGCTTTGACAGCGAAAGGTCGCAGGTTCGAATCCCGTCTAAGGCATTTTTATTACACAATGTATGTATTTACAGGACAACATTCGTTGAGAGCTATACTACACGATGCACCATCATGTTCTTTATTCGAACACTGACTATTTATATATATATATATATAGGGCATATATATATGTATAGGCCTATATATAAATTACATGAAAGTAAACACAATGTCATAATATATAATATAGGCCTATATATATATATATATATATATATATATATATATGTTATGTTATGTTATAAACATAAATATGTTATTGTAAACTTTGAGAAACGGTTACCAATTGTTGTTCAGATTGTTGTATAAGGGTAACAGATACTGTACAAAAATACCTGCCAACTGTTATTTACCGTTATTATAATGATACACTGCAAAATCGCGTCTCATAGGTCGAATGATTTATGACGTGTATGTGTGTGCATCTCATTGTGTTAATTATTAAGACGTCATCTTCGCCCCCATAACTACACGATTCGCCTAAGCTCATTCTAGCCTTGCATTCATTAATAGTATTGCTATTAATACCATTTTTAAAATGCTGACAATTCTATATATTGTACTTTAAGAAGCTCTTTTTAAAGTTTTATTTATAGTCTTATTGTAATGTATAGTGTGGTCTTACTGAAGAAAGACCAAAGACAATGTTATAATCTCACAAAAATAAGCAGTAGATGGAATAGCAGAGTATAATACATTATTGCTGCGCGATAATTGAAAATTAAATAAAACAAGCAACTACGTCATTTAGTTATCACGGCAGCAATAATTAACAACATACATCATCACATTCAACTAGTGGGATTTATATTATGTTCGTGCATGAAAGATATAGAATTACTGAAGCAATCTGAAACTTTCATGGGCGTTTGATTGAAAATTTAAAACAAGGGTACCGTACTACCTTAATCACACATTTTACATAAAGTGTGTATTTAAAAAGCGCAGCTTTCCGTAAGGTGTTCTTGGACCATTTAGCTATCGTTTCGTTTCCGACACTTTGCACCGAATTTGAAACGCTGATAACATTCGTTAACTTTCCTGACCTGTTGGGTACAATCGTTGGGGGTGGGGTGTGGTGCCGTTTTGACTGGGGACAGCTACATCTTGTAACGATTGTAGGCCTAATAGGAATGTACAGCGACAGTGAACCATGTTAAATTCAGCTGAACGTGTGTTTTGGTCCAGTTTTCAAGATTATGAGCATGATAGGCCTATTCAATCGT